GAAAGTAAAACTTTTCTGTGGAAGCGTTGGAATAAACATCAGGATTCAAGTGGGTCGTCTTGACTAATACGTCGTCATCCACGTCGAGTTCCAGATTACGTCGCTTCATATTGGCATACTTGGCTTGGCGATCTGTTGCTTCCTTGAATGCCTCAGTGACTTGAAGACGGATAGACTCCAAACGTGTAGCGAGAACGTCTGCTGAATCAACATCGGAGGAGGCAGATCCCGTGCCCAAAGCGAGTGACACCTGTCGTCCCAAGTCGGCATAAAAGGGTGTTACCCCTGTAGAAGCGTGCTTGGCGTCGTTGTAGGTGTGCTCGAGGACCGGCAGCCATTCGTCCCAATCCGATTGATTATATGCAACGTAATGACGAAGCATATCTTCGAGCGTTCGATTCGTGCGTTCCGTCTGTCCGTCTGATTCTGGGTGTAGACTGCTGGACAAACTTCTTTGTACGCCAAGCATCGTCGTCAAGGCCTTCCAGAATCTAGAAGTAAAGCGGACATCTCGATCCGAGACTACGTCTGATGGTAAGCCGTGCTGTCGGCATATCTCACGCAAAAACAGATGAGCAAAATCCTCTGCTGTATCAGTCATCTTGCATGGAGCAAAATGTGCGCGCTTTGAAAACCGATCCACAAAAACGGCAATTGCATCGAACTTGTGTAGCGTCTTCGGCAAGTGTGTGATAAAATCAACCGAAATTGAGGTCCATCGTCCAGTAGCTAGTTGCAATGGCTGCAACAAGGCTGCTTTTTTGGCATTTGGTAACTTGGTACGCTGGCACATGTCACACGTCGCAATATAACGTCGCACTGTTTTGTTCATATGTGGCCAGTAGTAAGTTCGTCCAAGTCATTCGACCGTTGCATCGATGCCGCGATGACCGGCGATTGGTGCGTCGTGTGCGTCATGCAAGAGGGTGTTGAGAAGCGTTGGCATGCGCGGCACACAGATTTGGTGTCGTCCATCTTTTTTGCGATAGATGATGCCGTCGGCTAGTTCGAACTCTTCGTCGTCGTCGTTCGTCCGAAGCCGAGTCAAAACGTCTGCCCAAAAAGAATCGTCCTTGTAGTGCTGAGTGCATTCCTTGCCAAGCGTCTCCCCCCTCACTGTGAGGACCACAGCACAAAGTTCCATTGAGACGTCGGGGTGAGAAGGAGCGCTGGGCGGTTGTTTTGATAGAGCGTCTGCACCAGTATTCTGTTCTCGAGGAATATGATGCACGTCAAACTGATAGGCCATCAGCTTTTCCAACGAGCGGATCTGACGCTTGGAGAGATTCTTGTTGTTGGCGTGTAACGTCGAGATGGCGCGGCTGTCCGTGAACACTGTGAACTTTTGACCGTCCAGATGATGTCGCCATTGTTTTAAACAGTACGACACTGACAAAAGTTCTTGTTCGTGAACCGGGTAATTCATCTCTGCGCCCTTCAACGTCCTCGAAGCATAAGCAACCGGATGCAATAAACCGTCGTCTTGCTCCTGTGAGAGGATACCACCAATTGACACCGTTGATGAAGCGTCCGTGTGTACGTAAAAATGGCGGTCGGGATCTGGGATTGCAAGCACCGGCGCGGAACATAAACGTCACTTGAGTTCCTGAAAGGATCTTTCACAAGCATCATCCCACTCCCAAGGAACGTCCTTACGCAGTAAGCGATTGAGAGGGGCAGTGAGGCCAGCATATCCATCACAAAAGCGTCGAAAGAAATTACACAGGCCTAAAAAACTCTGGATATGAGCAATTTTCGTTGGTCGTGGCCAGGTGGAAATTGCGTCGAGCTTATGTGGGTCGCATTTGATGCCGTCGCCTGAAACAATGTGGCCAAGAAATTCGACTGAGCGCATCCCAAACTGGCATTTCGACCGCTTCGCGTACAGTTTGTGGTGTCGCAACTTTTCCAACACCAACTTCAAGTGCTTGACGTGATCCTCGGCCGTCTTGGAGTAAATCAAGACATCGTCCAAATAGAGAATCACGAATACGTCGAGATATGGCCTAAAAACGTCCGACATTAAACGCATAAAGGTTGCGGGCGCCGATGATAGGCCGAAGGGCATTACTAAGTACTCGTAAAGCCCATATCTCGTCAAGAAGGCCGTCTTGTGTGTATCCTCGTCCTTGACCCGGAGTTGCGTATAGCCGGAGCGGAGGTCAAGCTTGCTCAAATAGCGCGCCCCAAGAAGCTGGTTCATGAGATCTTCGCACGCCGGTAGAGCGCATTTGGATAACACACTCGTCTTGTTCAAGGACTGATAATCGATCACTATGCGCAGAGTCTTGTCCTTTTTTGCGACGAACAGGACAGGAGCACCGTAAGGTGACGTCGATGGTCGAATCCAACCCTTAGCCAGCAAGTCGTCGAGCGTTTTCTTGAGCTCAGCCAGCTCATGTGTAGAAAGGCGATACATACGATGAGCTGGTACTTTGGCGTCTGCCAGTAAAGGTATGGCGTGTTCGACACTGCGCTTAGGTGGTAGACCGTTGGGAACGTCGTCAGGGAAAACATCTTCGTATTTCTCCAATACGTCGTCAAGTCCAGGAACAAAAACACGATCGCCTTATACCATAATTTTCTCTGCACATAATACAATATAACCGTCATCAGTAACGTCATTAACGAGGTTATTGCCAGTACAATAAGAAACGTATTGTATTTCCTTTGGTGTAGGTGGCGGTCGCGGGTGGACGTCATTCGTACGCCAGTCAATTTCCGGGTTTTCGTCATATAGCCAGCTTTTTCCCAAAATAACGTCAAGGTCGTCGCTGCGTATTCCCGAAAAAAGGCGAATAGGTGTTGAAAAGTCGTCCATTACTACTGTTGCGTCCAAGTAGCATGTTGAATCGGTTGTTCGTGCGTCGGCAACTTTTACGAAAGAGCCAGGTGTTGATTGAGCAACGAAGATGAGTCCTGTTTGTTTCAAAATCCTTGCTTTGTGCTCACTAATAAAGCCAATCATCGGATCAAGATATGTCTAGCAAACTCCAATTCTCCCATATGAACAGTAGCGTCTATTAAAGTAAAAGCATGAGAAGGTGCAATATTACCAATAAAAGGATCGTCTTTATTTGCAAAAATGCTACTAGGTGAGGAGGAGAGAACGTCTACACTAGTGTATGATGGTGATGGAGGGGGGTCGGAACTAAAGAAGAACCCTCGTCGTATTGATCGTCTGCAAGATTAACTAAAGAAGTTAATGGCAAAGAATTGCAGCCAACTAGGCCACCAGCAGGGTGGGCGCGTCTGCTGGTCGAACTAGTTTTTTCCCCGGCCTTTGCTCATGGAAAAAAAAGAGCTGCCACCATTGCCGCCGCTGCCCTTGCCGTTGCCGCCGTTGCCTCTTGAAGGCGGATCCGGAACCCTGGGGCAGTCCTTGCCCATATCGTCAAAACCATAAATTCGGAAACAGCGACCTTCGGCGATGCACTGCTTGGCAGAGAGGCCACTTGCTTGGCCATTGCGTTTCTGCAGAAACTATTGGTGTGGGTGCCGTTGCTGTTCGGCTGCTTCGACCTCTATAGGGGTTGGGCCGGAGGGGGACAAGCTTGAGCTGTCGACAGCTCGCAAGCTGCTGGCTGACGACGTCGCCAAGAATGCGGGCCGGAAAGAACTTGGCCACGAGCGCGAAACGGCTTGCCCTACGGTACTACCCGAAACTTTGCTTAATATGCAACATAGTATGTAAAATATGTCAAATTAGATGAATAAGAGAGTTTAAAAGCGAGTAATTAATTTTATTTCACTATTTAGTGTTATAATCATAAAGAATTCCATCTTGTTGATGCAAGTGTTTCCGGGATGTCATTTTATGCAACAGTCAATGATAGCCTTTTCACTTGCAATAGCAAAATGCGTGGGTCGTAACTGCATTGCTTGCAGCGCCAATTGTATAGCATAATTCAGTATATGGAGATGAGGCAATTGTGCTGGATTCGGAATATTGCCCGTGTATCATCATCTGTTCCTCAAATGGCTGCATGCGTGTCAATATGGTGATCAACAAAACAGTTTATCATTCCTTGTTGAAAGGGTGGTTTGGAGTGATCGTTATTTGGACCACGACAGATTATATGTACGTCTTAAGTTTGAGTGTAGCGAGAAGGAAGAGTTGACCTCAACTTCTGCAACAAAACGATGGATATGTTGTCTTTTATGATAAGCTTGTCGAGTATCTTTGGTAAAGCTGTACATTAATAAGCGCATCATAGCATACAGCGAAGTTTTACAGTATGGCTATGTTTGTAGTAAACTTCGTGGTACGAAACTCGCCATTTCGACCTTCCTTGGGATGTTTTTATCCACATACATAACTCGATGTCGGATAGTGATTCGCAGATAACAATTGGCGATAGGTGTGTTATCTACTGATAGGTACTTCGACCTATTTGATACATAATTCAAGCAGCTGTAATTTTGACCAATACTGCAGAATTTTCCCCTGATACAAGAAGTTGAGCTGGATGCCGTAGACATGACTACTGCAAGCACTTATACCCAAGATCATCCTTTCTTGTATCACTTCTCAGTAGTTGTTCTCAATTCATAAGGAAGCCTTCTATAAGCCATGACAAAAAAAATTAGTATTTTAATATAGTATATAACAATGCAAGAGGGAGTTTAATGCAAAATGATAGATTCTTTGAGTGAGGGAACAAAGGAGTCTTTGTGCGTCTAATAATGGAGATGGTGAAGGAAAAAGAAGAATCGACATCTATTGATTTATCCAAATTTCTTTCGCAACTTGTCATATTGTAGCTTATCCTAAAAAAGAACAAGACCAACCGAGTCAATAAAATGAGATATCTTAATGGCATTAAGCAACAAAGCAAAGAAAAAAGAACTCACTTGAGATAATACACTCGGTGACACTTTAGTAAATGCCATATCAAAATGTTCCTTTTCAACGAAAATCTCGTCCGCTGTGGCATCTGTATTTAAAACGCTTCCCGCAGAATAGAATTTGCTTCGTAATGATGCTACTGCACTTTCTCGAACCAATGCTGCCAAATCAGCACCACTATAATTAAAGGAAATAAGAGGGAAAGTTAAATGTCAGGGTCAACATAGTCTAATCTTCTCAGTGCTAATCCCAGTGCTATAGATAGGAGATATGTACCTGAATCCGTTGCAGCGAGAGTCATCTGCAATATCTTTAAGAGGTAGGCCTTCAGCCAAGGGAGTTTTCTTTGTAAGCTTAGTCAGGATATCAAGACGTTCAGCAGGTGTGGGTAACTCTACATAGAGCAGCTTATCCAGTCGGCCGGGCCGAAGCATAGCCGGATCAATCATGTCTATATACAAGGATGTACATATCTATATTTCAGCTCCATGATCCTTGGTTTTCTCATAAGCAATTCAATTACCTGGACGATTCGTAGCAGCAATGACATAAACTTGGCTACGATTTTCAACACCATCCAATTCGGTCAAAAGCGTATTCACAACACGAGCGGATGAATCGGTCTATGAACGCACATACATAGAATACGTTTTTGTAGTTTCTGTTGTACATATATACCGAAGACATTTTGACATTTACCTGTTGGTCATCACGTCGAGAACATAAAGCATCTAATTCATCGAAGAAAATAACACATGGGGATGATGCTCGAGCACGGGCAAATACTTGTCGTACACCTCGCTCACTCTCGCCAACGTACTATATACAACCAATGTACGTCAGCGCCAAAGGAAAACATCATCAATGCTAATAACACTCATTTGATAACGTTACCTTATTTAATAGCTCTGGTCCCTTGACGGATATAAAATTGGTGTTGCTTTCGTTTGCCACAGCCTTTGCCAACAGCGTTTTACCACAGCCAGGAGGGCCCCACAAGAGCACACCGGCTGGCGATGTGATACCAACGCGTTCGAAAAACTCAGGATGATTGATAGGTTCAACCACAGCCATACGCAACTCATCTCGCACAAACTGTAAAGCACCAATGTCGTCCCAAGATACATCGGGTACTGTTGCAAAGCCTTCTCGCTTCGACGATGGCTGTACTTTGGGTAAAGCCAATTGGAAATCGTGTTCAGTAATGGCCAAAGATTCAAGCTGTGCTGGCGTTAATGGTTCCTTGTGTTTTTGGATAAAATCAGCAATAGATCGCAGTTGTTCCAATGCAGATTGAGACTCGAACTCTTCAACAGTGGTAGTTGGAATAGGTTGATTGTCTTCCGTCGCATCTTCAGTAACAGTAGTAGCGTCAATATCCATAGCGTTCTCGATACTCCGTTGCTGTTGCTGTTGCTGTTGTTCTCCTTCTTCCCCTTCTTCCCCTTCTTCCATAGCATTATCTTGCTCTGATTGTTGTTGTGGCTGTTCCTGCTGTTCTTCAGGCTTGGTGTTGTTGGTATCATCATTGTTCTGGTTAACTGTGGAGGAGATTGTAATTGACTGTAAATGCTTAAAGATTCGCTTTACTGCAATAACGCCTGCTTGTGTGATAAGTGCCTGTAGATCTGCACCAACATAACCAGGAGTGGCCCGTGCGAGCGCCAAGAAATCAAATTTGCCTTCCAATCGAAGCTTTTCAGCTAACACCCGCAAAATCCTTTTATAATAAAAACCAGTTAGATTCATTTCTATATGACGAAGGGAAACGTATAATTTAGTTGCGACAATGAACACACTGCTTACTTTTCTCTGGCCTTTTCGTCAGGCACACCCATGCTGATTTCCCTATCAAATCTACCTGCTCTTCTTAAAGCAGGATCCAAAGAATCGGGACGGTTGGTTGCACCAATGATCATGACAGGCCTATTGTTCGTTTTGTCCCATGATAAATCTATTACAAAATCAAGTCAGCAAAACCACTTTTTTTCATTCCTTTACTCTATTGTTGTATGATCCTCTCCTCTCCCAAATTAGGGGATGTTAAGATATAGCCTACCATCCATGCAGGTGAGCAATTGTGCCACGATACGTCGCTCCATTTCTCTTTGCGCCGTTTCTCTCTTGGGAGTAATTGCGTCGATTTCGTCAATAAACAACAAGCAAGGTGCGTGTGTCTATGAATCAATAACATGTATATAAGCAAAGTGCACGTATATACATCATCCTCGTTTCAACTTTTACCTTTGCATCTTCAAAAACGTCTCTGATCTTTTTCTCGGATTCACCCGACATACCCGACACAATGGATGGAGCTGAAATGTTGAGGAAAGGTACACCCAGTTCCTATGATCATCAGAAAAAATATCGTAAGAGATCCATACCCACCATTTCTTTGGCATCCTCTAACCAAATAATTTCTCACAAAAAACTTACACCAGCAATCGCATGTGCTAACCGTGTTTTACCGCAACCTGGAGGACCATGTAGCAAAACACCGCGTGGTGGTTGGACACCCGTGTGAATGTATACTTCTGGATGTGCCAAAGGCATAGCAATAAGTTCCATGATCTCCTCCACACAATGATCGATACCACCAAGATCCGAAAGTCGAGCAGAAGGAACAAAAGGCTCATCACGCGTTTCGGCTATTACATATAATTCCATGGTGATAAACCGTCAGTTACCATAAGAACAATGCCATCGCCACAAATTCGCTGTGATCTGGCTATTTTGCTACAGTCATAATCAATAACTCACTTCTAACGCGCTTTGGAGTGCCACCACCAGCTGCTTTGCTGCGCTTTTTTGACGACTTCTTCTCTTCCGTCACTATGGTAGTTGCAGCGCCAGTAGTAATAGGAGGTACCTCTGTCGTAGGTGTTGTTGTTGCAGAAGGTGGAATAGGTGTAGTAGCTTCCGATTGCGTTGGTGTCGATGCTGGTGAGTCGTTCTTTTGGAGATTCCACAGATTTGTTACAGACCTGTTCATAGAATTGGTTTGCTGCATAATTGGCTTTGATGATGATGGTGTGGTGTTAGATATGGCCATAAGGCTCGGTGGTAGACACTCGGCAATCCATGTAGGGTGAGATGAAGAAGCAATCGTAGTATTGCTGTTACTCACCAAAGCATATCCGGCATCTTGATCTTCGTCTTCTGATACTTCACTATTCAACCATATGACATATCGAGAAGTATCAGTAACTTTCATCTTTAATCTCTATTACCACATAATATTCTTCGTTAAAGAATATGTATACCCCTCGTTTTCCTCGTCAGCAGATGCTTCGAAATCAGGCAATACTAGATTTATGCACATAAAGTTAAACAGCTAATCGATTTCCGTCATTTGGTGGTGAACTGGGTATACTGTACAGCAAGTATACATACTTTTTTCGATTATGTTTTCTAGCTGCTTCTTCTTCTGTCGTCTTAATGAAACATCGGTTTTCTGTAGGTACTCGTACAATGTCGATGTACTCCAATCGGTATAGCCTTGCTCCTTGTAGCTATTCAAAGCGTCAGAGACTCGATGCTCAAGCGACCGTGATAGCCGCCCAGCATTTCCCTTCATGTTTTCGTAAAATTAAAATTCGTTTGACAAGCCCGAATGTCTTTTTAGAATGGCACCCCCAAAAAAAAAAGTTCAGTCAGGTTACAAATGCGGTAATTAACTGTGGCTTGAAGTTCCGTCATGCGGATCTGTGCCGACGATATCAAAAGTTTGGTCGACTGAATGGTTGGCCAACTTAACAGTGCCCGGATAACAAATGCATATGCACAGTATATTCAACACACAGTAACTTTTGAATATCGTGTCTTAGCCATCGTCGTTAATTAATGTTGTGAGTCTGTTGTCTGGCGCATAAATGTGATATCCACTCTATCATAACTGTTACTTTCTTCACACCTGAAATATAGTCCAGGTTTCAGATGCATTACTTGTATCCTCTAGCAGTTCGTCTAGGAAGCATCATTACTTGATATAAGCCTTGTGTCGCTCTTCTCAATCCCTTTACTCGTCACCGAGCAACCGAAACCATTCTTCTCCTCATCATATTGATACCCTTCTTTGCTTTCCTCGTCACTCCCCATTCCACTACTTTTTTGAGATGCTTGAGTCAATATTGGCTGGTGGAAACGGCATAAAACTTGTATGCTACGAATAGATGCCGTCCTTTGTCAAATTTTTCTCTTTCGTCTTAAGTTAAAGCCGAACTTTGTTGCATAAATCACATCATCGGCAGTGTACTGTGCTGCATCTAATAACTTAACCGCCCGCTTCTTGCTACATTTAAACCAAAGATACGTAGCTGACAGCTAATTTTTTCTTCCTTTGGCAGCAGCATACTTTCACAGTCGATAGGGTGATATAGTATATGTTTGACTCTTCTTGTTCAGGCTCACTCGCACACTAGATGGACTTTCAAATAACCTTGCTTGGCTTAATTTGCCGGAGGCAGGATTATGCGAGCTTCTTCTCTTAAGACATGTAAGTTGGTCTGTGAATAACCAAGACCTGCCAATATTCTATTTATACCTTTCCATTTATCTACGTGCTTCATTTTCGAGGATGTAGATATACTCATTCAAGGGGTGGGGGAAGAGGAAAGTTGTTCCTTTCGTACGACAGCTTATATGGTGGAGAAGCTCGATCAAAAAGTATACTATATAGCTTCCAAGGCCTTTGCAGGACGCATTTATATGAGAAGATGGAAACAGAGTGAAAACTTGAAAAGCACAAACCAGCATGTATCATACTTCAAGTGTTCAAAGATTCAATGTCCGCCCTGAATTTCCGTGCGGGCCGGGATGCTGGACTAAGTGGAAGCGTTGCAAGTGCAAGAACGAGTTCTTCCTCTTTTTTTGATAACGATGGCAAGAGTAAGTAGTGCATGGGAACCACAGTCAAGGTCATGAAACGATGCGAGAGTCAAAGGATTCATCGGATGCAGTAACGATACGCAATGATTGGAACTCATAAACCATACGAGACGTCGACCGAACTTTTGGTGCTATCACTACTTCCAATCCATCCACCAGTTCAAGAAGTCGATCATAACCATCCATCCATCCATCCATCCGTCTATCTACAACAGGCGTCAAAATACCAAAGAAAAGGACAGCACAGAACCGCTTCTGAAACCGAAATGAACCTAATGACTCTCGCATTGAATGACCATTTGTCTGTGAAAAGGAGGCTTAGTGAAGGGAAAATGCAACACAGAACTGGGAATTCAGCTGTACTCATTTAACTTTTTTTACCCTGTGCACCCGCTTTGTCTCGAATTATAGTTCCACGAATATCAGGTAAGAATGTGGAAAATATGTGTGCAACAGAAAGTATATGGTGGATTCAGAAATACTAATGACGAAATTTATTTTAATATAGGTGGTTGGTCGCAAGCTCCCTTCGACCAAGGAGCCCCAACCCAAGTTGTACCGCATGCGCGTCTTCGCTCCTAACGAGGTCGTTGCCAAGTCCCGTTTCTGGTACTTCTTGAAGAAGCTCCGCAAGGTCAAGAAGGCCGCTGGTGAGATCGTCTCCATCAACGAGGTATGCATATGCACACAATTACTGCGTTTGAGTGCTTGGAGATTAGCGAGAGCTGCTTTGTGGAACTTGGGAAACTTATCAAACTTACATTTTTGTCGATGTAGATCCACGAGAAGCGCCCTGAGCAGATCAAGAACTTTGGTATCTGGATCCGCTACGATTCGCGTTCCGGCACCCACAACATGTACAAGGAATACCGTGGCATGTCCCGTGTCGAGGCCGTCGGTACTTGCTGTATGTGTCTTTTTTCTCTCGTCGCAATGATGTTATTATACATTTGAGATTTTAGTTTTGGAGCTAGGATAAAGTTAATAACTGGGTGTTTTACTACTACTGTAGACCAGGATATGGCTGCCCGCCACCGTGCCCGTTTCTCCTCTATCCAAATCATCCGCGTTGCTGAGGTTAAGGCTGCTGACATCCGCCGTCAATACATCAGACAGCTCTTGAACAACAAGCTTGCTTTCCCCTTGCCTCACCGTGTCCAGCGCACCGAGAAGAGCCGTCGTGCCCTCTTCATTGCCAAGAGACCTGCCACTTTCTATTAAGTGTGTTGCTTTTCTCCTTGGGTTAAAGCAGCTGCAACCCACGAAATAAAAACTGGTTTTCTTTATTGAATATTTTCCTTTTTGCATCGATGATCTTGTTTATCTGCAATTTTTTTGAATGTGTAAAGTACAATAATGTAACGAAATTGAAACGTACAAGTGTGTAGTCATATTGATTTAAAAGGTGAAAGGAGAAAGATAGTTGTAGCAAAAGTCAATTTATATGTGCATTCTTTGTCTTTTGCGAATATCAATCAATCTTCGGCTTTCAGTTTGTCTAAGATCGCGGATATACAGTTCTTTTCTTATAACGATTGAAAGATCGGTATTTAATACATTAGGTAAAAAGCATGTCGGATAAAAGCCTCTAGATCTGGATAACTTAAAGACACGCAGATTCGGTGAACTGACAATACCATTTTCGCGGATATGGCCAGCTAAACAATAATCGGCATTATGCAAGATAGACGTTGGGGCCATACTTACGGAGCCAAAATATGACCCACATGATTCTTATCTCTGTTAGCCATGGAAGTCGACAAACTGGTGTTGCTCACAAGTATCAATATCATGTCATTGCAAAAATGCTTAATTATAACGATGTCCTTACTTTGAGTTTGTGGCAATATGTATAGCGTCACTGCATAAGCATCGGTGTATTCAAACGAGCAAGTGGTATTTGGCGTCGTAACAGATCGCATCACGACGAAATGTTTTGTATTTGGATAACACTTCGTGAATCATATTGATTTCTTGCTCGTTTGTGTAGTGAGGCCATTCGATGTATGATTCTTGCAGGAAAGATGGCAGTTGACGAGCGAATTGGAGGTGTTCGACGCCAAAGTTGCTGACTATTACAGCAATACCAGCCTCTGATGTGTTATTATCTTGCTAGAAGTTGAACGGTAGGTCTTGCTCGACGGTAGACTTAACGCCAGCATTCGAAGGTCGCGGTGTTCTGATCGATTCATTCTCGATCTTCGAAAGAAAGATCGTAGTTACACTTTGCGAAGAATATGGTGATGTAATGGGGAGAGGAGGAAACTGGGAAGGCTGGTACTATGCTCAAAGCTCGATCATTCCTTTTACACTATAATTTTAGATTCAAATGGAAACAACTTGATACTAGATAACTTCATTGCCCAATAAAAGTTACAGGATCTAGCACCATCAATGCGAGTAATACACTCATACTGTGTATGTAAGCTATAATTCGAGAGCCAAGTTTAAAGGAGAGATGATGGACTAATAAAAACGTGGAATCATATAATGATCCTGCTCAGTCTCAACCTTCCAAGTAGATTCATTGTTTACAGGATCGTATATAAAATGTGAGTTAGCATCATCTAAATTTTGTTGTCAATGCGCCCTGGTGGTTGCCGGAGAAGGAATTGACCCGGTCAGAGATTTTTTTTGACCTTGTATCCGCTTGTATACACATACACAAGCACAATGGCAGACAACTCGGCTCCAACGACACAAACGAACCAAAACAATGCCACTTCATTAAAGGACATGAAGAAATTTGAGCGATGGCGCAAATCTTTGCAATATCTTACTGGTCTCGGTATGTCCGAGAACGAGCAGAAAGCATTCCGCAAGGACCTTGACAGCGAACTTGAATCATACCAATGTCGGCAGTGCGAAGTCTGGCGCGATAATTTGATTAAAAACAGTACGTCAATTTTTTCTTGGGATGCTTTTTGGTAAATTATAAAAAGTTAGAATTCAGGCCGTTTACTAACGAAAAGCACGCTTTTTGGAAAAGGTCCCTCGGTTCGGTTCATGGTTGAACATCTCGGCAGGATTGGTCGTGAAATCAAACGAGACGACTTTTTATGTGCTCCCTGTGATATTACACGGTCCGGCGGTTTCTCGCCTGAGGACGGTATTTTATTATGTCAAAACAGAATGAACTCTAAAACACATCAAGAACATACAATGGTCCATGAAATGGTTCACTTGTACGACCATCATCGGTTTAAGGTGGATTGGCTCAATCTACGCCATCATGCTTGTAGTGAGGTAAGGAACCTTCCGTGTTTTTCATATGTTCATCATTGCCAATGATGGCATGTAGCTCTGTATAAGCCTGATTATTATTTATTAGGTTCGAGCAGCAAGTTTGAGTGGTGATTGTAACTGGACACGCGAAGTCCAACGTGGTTTCTATACCTTTACAAAGCAACATCAGACATGTGTCAAGCGAAGAGCTATCTTATCAGTGGCGGAAAACCCGAATTGCAAATCTAAAGAAGAGGCAGAACGAGCTGTTGCTAGTGTGTTTGATAGCTGCTTTGCTGACACTCGGCCGTTTGATGAAATTTATTAAACCGGTGGTGATGATAAATGATAATGATAATAATAATGAAGCTTTAGAAATAATCCCCATTTTCTTTACAATTGTATTCCTCTCCTGTAATTATTGCTCATTTATGATTTACTCTTCTTTTGTCCGTTGAAAATAGAAAAAGCATCCATTTTCTAGCATCTGTCAAGCATAGATTTTACGCTGTGGAGCATGTTGATGTCGTGGTCGCATGCAAAGCACTTCTTTTTGAATTTGGTTTAGCTGCTGAGTTCTTCTATACACCTCACCACATCCCATGATGCTGCGCCATGCACATGCCAATATGGATATCTAAGTGAGGCTAAAGTGGCGGTGGATATCGAGTGTGGATCACTCTAGGTTGCACGATACAGTTGAAGTGTTGCCTCATATCCACCCAGCTAAAAGTGTGTGTCACAGCAACAAGATGACAGAGCATCTTTTGCCATAGCTACGAAGTCGTATTAAGACTCCAGTTCATGCCTACTGTCAAGGTGTTAGTCAAAAATGATGTCTAAAATATACAGCTAATTAAGTGCTAATTAACAAGATCGACAAGGAAGCGGCCTGCAGTATGTATTAAAGAAAATAAGCGTTGTCTGACCACCGTTGGACTTCAGTCAATTGCCTCCTCCTTTTTTGTTTTCCTGACACAGCTTTCTCGATATGATAACGTATCCGCAAAACATGGTGCTTTTCTCTGGCCCGTTCGATCATTCATCAAATGCTAAGCTTATTATGATATGGATGACTGAATAAGACCACTCATAGAGTCGATCTACTGAACAAATAAGGCATATGAGGATGAGTGGGCCAGTAACAAGGATAGCACAGCAGCAGCCAAAACTTGGCAAATAATGCACCATTCATAGTATCGTCATGGCTAGGTCTTTCATACTATGTACGTTGATTGTTATTCTTTGCCAAGCCTTCTCTTTGGATGCAAATTAAAGTAGTTGCCGGCAAAAAGGTACTTTGGTGCGGAGCTCGGCTGTGAAACCTGCAACTTGATGTTGTTTGCTCCGAATATGCGAAAAGAGAATGGTGTACAGGGTCCTCCACCAATGCTCACTGCAAAAAAAAAAAAGTTTATATATAGTTCATCTATGAAGCTAACGAAGGAACGCGTATTTAAACGTTCATCCACTTTTTTTTCGATCTTTTCTCCTTTTTCTCCCACTCTTTCTTTACCCCTTTATATATCTCAACACATACATACTCTTCTACATATTCCCTTCAAACCAACCCACAAAATATGACTACCGATAACTTGTATAGCGCCGAAGGTGTCCAAGCGCGATGTAAGAAGGCTATTTCACAACTTGACGAACAACTCGGCCAGTTCCAATACTGCAACGACTTTGAACGCATGACGGGCGTGCCTAAGACCTATGTTGTCTTGGGTGCCGGCGGCCTTTTTGCTATCATGATCTTTTTTAATATTGCCGGCCAGCTTATTACAAACTTTATCTCATGGGGCTATCCAGGTACAGTACCCAGTAGCAGCAACAATCTTCCATACCGAGCTGGATGTTATGTGCACATTACAAACACGTATATACTCATGTAAACAACCCATTTTTTTATGTTGAATCATACAGCATATGCATCATTCAAGGCGATCGAAACACCCTCACCTGCTGATGATAAACAGTGGCTGACTTACTGGACGGTGATCGGATTTGTGCAGATTGTGGAATACTTTTCAGACTTGTTGTTGTTCTGGGTACCTTTTTACTTTTTAATCAAGACCGTCTTTGTACTGTGGTTGGCGTTGCCTCAGTTCCGAGTAAGTTCTTTTTTGTTGCGGTTGCTGTTCCCTTCACTCTGTGTTGCTCAGAGTAATCTCACACATACACGAATTTTAAAATAGGGTGCAGAAATCCTGTACGGAAGATTCATCCGACCTTTCCTTTTGGAGGCGCAGAGCGATATTGACAGACACGCTCATGAGCTGAAGGAAAAGGCTTCCAGCGTCGCATCCGAGTTTATTAGCAAGAAGGATTAGAAAAAAAAAATGGAACATACGGCATTCTCTCTTTTGTTTTTTCTTTCTTTCTCTTTCCTTGTAATTTGACAAAAAGGCAAAAAAATATACAACGCATTACATATTGCAAGTACGAACATGTGTCAAAAACGGAGTGGAAATAGGGGGCAGCTGCGGCACAGCCAAATAAAAAAGAGTCTGTGTAACGTCTCTAACTGATGTTTGCGGGTTTGTTTCCAGCAAAGGCATATTGAATACAAGTGACCTCACATGTTATAAAATGCAAAGAGCGACGAACACCCAAGGTTGTTCAAGCCAAAGAATTTGCATACCTGAATACTTCCTGACGTCGTCAAGTGATTACCGCTGATTACTGTAAGCAAAAATGATTTTAGGCATAATATTCTGAGTGTAACTATAAAAAGCCGTACTTAAAGCGCCCAATCGCAAAGTAGAAATGCTCTACATAGAATATTTTTACTCCAGGCTATTTATCGACCCATATTCGACTGACTATTAGACTCTTAGCAGAGCAAGCATATGCCTGTTTCTGTTGTGGCCGATATTACCTCTTGGTCTAAACGTGTGCTATTTTTGGCTTGTTACGCCAAGATGTATTTCTGACAGAATACTATTAAAGGCACGCTTTGTGGCAAATTATTGGAGTTAGAATTTCGGCGAGCAACACGTATGTGTCAAGTGGCACAACACAATAAGGAAATGTGTTATCGCCTGTACTTGCCGCTTCTCGAACGGCAGCAAAGAAATAAGCTCGTTGGTTGAGCCCGATTTCGTGTGATTGCCTATGCCGTTTGTCGAAGTTATACTGGAGCTAGATAGTTCTTATGTCAGGGAGTGATGTACATGCGTAGAAAGAACCACGTGTGTGGGTCAGTACAGCGCCCTAAATTATGCAAGAACATTATAAAATGAATAACCGAGTAATTTGAAAAGGTTAAACTGTTTGAGCGAGTGTAAGTGATTCTTAAAAAAGACGTATTTACTCAATAAGGTAAACCGACACCGTCCCCGTGTATTGTATCATCATCGGCTAATAAGAAGCATCATCACGTCGTTTAGCACCACTGGTCGAACGAATGCTTGCACGACTAACTGCAGCTGCTGTTATTGGCGAAAGACTGTGTCAAAATACCTACGCTTGCCACCACATCCGAAATACTGTAAAGTTTCCAACTTTTACAAGTCGATAGATGCTGTGATACAGTAGATCCTCGATAATTCTATAGCATAGATTCCCGAATTGTCACTGCGCAAATGACAGCTTGCAAAGGGCATCATACGGATACGGAGCCACACGGCAGTGTCATTACGCGCAATTTGGAAATATACAGGAAGGTAATAGAGGATGGCGAAAAACGTAATACCTAAAAAGATAAAAGAGTGATGATGGCTCTGCTCGTAAATGGTTTGAGTGGAGGTACAGTGGTCCCCCGTTAAGATCAACTTCAAAAGGTCTTATGTATAAGGTTGAAGCTCCAATAAACATATACTTTAAACTAAAAAGTTGAAGCTAATAAGGGTCAAAAAAAGAGTGAGGGTAGGTTTTATACAGAATTTAAATGTTTTCTAATTCTTAAGGGTCCCATTTCAAAAGGGTTGACACAGCTGTTGAGGGTTTAATTTATCTAAGGGTGATCTCAACGGGGAACCACTGTAGTAGCGGCTCAAGGGCGTAGTTAGTTTCTCAGAACAAATGGTACTTGTATGCTCAAATAAGTATGCTCATTTAAAGAGGTTTTTCTTTATCTACAACAAGGATTATTTAGGCGATATCAGCACTATGTATCAAATTAGAAGAGATCAGGGTGAACTTACGATGGCTGCAGCTGATTACTGTGACAAAATTTCTCCACCGAGGTTCATGTCTAGCATAAATAGCGTGAAAGCTATCAGTAGTAATATGTTACACACTTTAGCTTTTGCATCCTCTATTGACAAGTGTAAGAATTCAGAAAGCCACCGAAACGATGCCACAGTTGAAAATGTATTACCACACTAAAAATAATATTGCTGTGTAAAACGGCAGGACAGCGAATGAATTTCTATTGCTCATGTTTAGATGATAGTTGTTACATAAATCCACAAATATGACAGCACAAATACAGTAGATACGTAGAATAGTGCAAAAGTATCTAATAACGTCTTACTGCTACTGTACATACATTTCCATATATCCTTTAAAACATCCATTTGTTTCGTACTAGTTTATTTCTTCTATTCTCAAATACCTTATTGCAAAAGCATCGAATCTCTCAGCAAATATAAAGATGGAGGTGAAGATAACAGTTGATAACAGCTATTTCCCTCCCTCAGCACAGTTTTTTTTTGCGTTCATTTGCCGTTTTACACAAAGAAAAAACATACACTTTAATATGTTACATCAATTACGGCGACATACAAGGCTATTATGCAGCTACCTACCATATCCCTGTATTTGTTCGTCATTCTCTGTGTGTGATCATATGAAGCTTTACAGAATTTAGCAAACCTAGCAAAGCACAATGTATGCTATCAGTAGCTATTTCTGCGTGCATATTGTTGAAACACCTTCTCTTGTTTAACTACTGCTACATACAATTATCTGGATATAGGACAAGCTTTTTCGTAAAGATTACAAGTGGAAAATCATCAAGCATCTATTACAGCAGTGAAGTTACCAGGAAACTGACCTTTAAGGCAACTATAACTTGTTGCTTTGGACAATTTTCCATGTATTGACGGTGCATGACTTGTCTGTATTTTTACGTTGTCCTGGGACGGCCAGTACCCTTCTGTTTTACGATCTCTCTTTCCCTTTCTCGTTCTCTCGCTGTGTGCGGTATTTAGCTACATAGCGTCCAGCGACGGAATCTTCCAATTTATGTGTTCGCATTTGTTTAATCCGTGAGATATCTGATGTGAGGCATAAGAGTTGTGCCTTTACCCTATGGTTTGAAGCCATACATGCTGTACTTGCATGGACTAGCTGACCTCTTTATGCTGTCGTCAATCCAAGTCTACCATTCACTTACTACATAAATGATCTCAAAAGTCCTATTCGGGCTTTTCTCCGTTCATTCGTGCGACAACAATGCTGATGCCCCATTTGAATTGCATTTGCGCGCTCTCTTTAAACCCCTCCGCTCATTAAGCGCGAAATACAGTTTTCTTGTGTCTTATTCACTTTTTCCCTCATGCCAGAACCGACCAAAGAACAAATTCAGCTTGTCTTTAAAAAGCTAAAACAGAACCGATATAACAAGGTATTGAATAAACGAGTATATGTAGAATAAGACCTATTGCTTGATTGTGTTGGAGTCATTAGGAAGCAAAGGGGCAAGATTCTAAATAACATCATCTTTATAAATCTGAATAGGTCTGTTTTGATTGTAACTCCAAAAATCCTACCTGGTCATCAGTATCTTTTGGCGTTTATCTATGTACCGATTGTTCTTCTGCCCATCGTAATCTTGGTGTTCATATTAGTTTCGTCAGGTACCTTTGAAACCTCAACAACAACCCCTTTCTTTCCTTCAACAACACAAGTATTCGTGCTATCGTCCCCATGCTGTTTGCTATCGTATTTATGTATGAACGCTGATTACGCAAAGATCGACTGTACTTGACTCATGGTCCTGGGACCAGCTTCGGTTGATGGCCGTGGGCGGCAACCAAGCAGCAAGTGAATATTTTTCAAAGCATGCAGCACAGGGTAGCGCGGGTAACAGCAAGGATGCCAAGGTCAAATATACCAGCCGTGCTGGACAGCAGTATAAGAAACTGTTGGAAAAGCGTGCGGCTGATGATGCGGCAGCGTAAGTATGAAAATACATGACAAGAGAAGAAATGTTATAAAATCTAACATCTTTCGTGTATAGGCATCCTACAACAGTTGTGATTGAGATGGATACGCCCGTTACAGAAGAAACTGTAGCCGATACTCCTGCAGGAGCAGCAGAAGCATCTACATCACCTGCTTCTTCATCGGAACCAACAACTCCAGCAGCAGCAGGATCGCCAGAAGGATCGCCAGCAGTTACGACGCCACCACCACCCAAGGAAGAATCTAAGACTGATCTAGCAACCACCACAACAACGACGACGACAACTCCACCTGCTAAATCACCCACGCCACGCTCAACGGCCACAGCACGCAGCACCCGATCTGCTATTGGTGCACGACGTGTAGGGGCCAAGGCAGGCAAATTGGGTATCAAAAAGGCACCGGTCAATTTCAATTTCGAAGAAGCAGAAGCACGCGCCAAGGAAGAAAGCGAGCGAAAGGCCAAGTTGGGATATGAAAGCGATGAAAAAGACCAACAGGCGACGAGCACAGATGGTGGCAGTGACAGTGTATCACAATCGCGAGGCATCTCATCTCGTTTGGCGTATCAAGATCCGAGCGAGCGTGCTGGTGATGGTGGCAGTAACAACAAAAAACAAGACGAGGAGGATGCATATGAAAAACTCGGTTTCGGCATGACACGCATGAATATGAACAGCACCGGAAAGATGAGCGATGCCGGTGGCAGCAGCAGTGATAATGCGAACAAGAGCTATGAAGAAGAACCCGCACAATCAGCTCGTGATAAGTTTGGTAATGCCAAGGCTATATCATCCGACCAATACTTTGGACGCAACGATTACGATCCAGCAATTTCAGCTGAACAGCAAGGACGTCTATCACAATTCCAGAACTCGCGTGCAATTTCATCAGACCAGTATTTCGGACGTGAGGAAGAGCTGGGAGGCCATGGAAATGGACCACAGTCGCCAACAGAGGACTGGACCGATTTGCAGGATCAGGCTGTCAATATGGCACGTAAGTTTGTCGCTCAAACGTCGGCAGATCTGGACGCTGTGCGCGACTTGGCCGGAAATGCCACCTCAAAGGTATAAGCAGTGGGGAGCTTGATCGTATTGAAGGGAAATACGATCATAGGACGATAACATGGCTAAAATAATATTGCTCTATATATTCAATTAGCTTCAAGACATGCTGCAGGACCTTCAGGTATGAATTGTTATTCAGCGGTTCATGCAAAAAAAAAATCTTTATAATACTCTCCCTACACCCCTTTAAGAATAGAAAAGAAAAAAAATGCAGAAAAAAAGAAGGTGTGCTGTGGGCCTGTTATTCTTACAAACACTTCTTGTTGTTGTTTGCAGCATCGATACAACTAATAACGGGGCTTAGCATCATCGTCCGTCCATGTGTGAGAATCCTCTCTCTCGGGTTGCAACAGGGCTCATAATACATAAAGCATCGTCAAAACAAAGAGGAAGCGAATACGCAAACCATCATTAAATATCCTTTTTCTTTTTCAATATTTCATTGTAATCAGCAAACTTCAAAAACTAGAATATCCATTGACATCTACTGACTGGGATCATCAAGAAAGAAAGGACTGCCAATTTCGAGCCTATTAAAAGGGCGAGTGCCTGTGCTCTTTTCTGTCTCTTTATTTCGACATTGTTATAAATATATGCGTGCATATACACACGTACACGCATACGTACTACAAACACACTCACATATATATCATCATGGACAACGAAGCATCGTCTTCAGAAGAAAAGTACAAAGTTATTGAATACAATGAGCAAATCTTTCGCATTCCTGTTCGACGCATCAACCAGTCGCTGTTTCTTTTCCTAAGTGATGTGCAAGCCATCGTACCAGCAGCGACAGCCTTGACATCGACGGATAAATTGATTCCATTCGAAACGGATCCGACTACACATGAAGAACTGGTACCCAAACGAGTCGCTGTATCCGAATTCGACAGTGCATGGCAAGTCCATGTACCCGAGGCGGCCGAGAGTCGACGCACGTTACAAGCCATGGATGGCAAACTGGATCGGTTATCACGGCAGCTGCGGCGGCTCTTGATTCCTAATCACCACGGTGATAATAATCAAGACGATGATAATAGTCTTGACGATTCTGACAATAGTGGATCTCATCCTGACGATCAAGTGCCAATAGCAGCACCACCGTTACCTCTTGACCATGACCAGCAACAACAACAACAACACCAACGCCATGACTCACCAGAACAACCACTATCCATTCGTCACCACCACCAACAACAACAGCACTCATCGCAACAACCACAACAACAGCAACAGCAACCACAAGAACACGCAAGACCCGACAGTCCACCACCTGCTTTTACCACCTCGCCATTACCGACACGCCGTGGCGAAGGCGACGCACCGCCTTCTTACGAGACATCGATTTTGGGCAATATCAAAGCCTTGACGGATCAATTGCGACTGTACGAATCGCATATTGCCAACAGACACAAGTCACCACGATGGTTATCGAGACGACAGGACTGGATCGATCGTGAGCCGATCAGTATCGAACAAGTGGCGTATCAGCTTGTGCAGCTAGAGATGGCGTTGTTGTGGACGGCCGTGTCCGAGAGTTGGATCCAGGAACGAGAGACGTGGCTGACCTTGGTGGCAAGTGCAAGGACCGAACGGCATTTGGCTGGAGCCATGTTGAATCTGGAAAGGCATACCCTGGTGATGGATGATGTTTGGGTCAGTCATGTCAGAGAAAGTTGGACAAATGAATTGTTGGAGATAATTGTATTACCGTTAACGCATGGTTAAGATGTCAGTATGCGTGCAAAAAAAAAAGAGTGTTTTGGAACAAGTGCTATTCGTATGAGGCCATCAGTGCTGATTTACTTAGTGGTTGCTATAGAAACGGTTGCCAGGAGATAATGTGCAAAGAAATGAGAGGATGTTTTTTATTTTTACATTTTGAAAAACTTTTTGCGAGAGGGGGAAGGATTTATTATTATACAAAGTTTGGCCACGAGATATACGTTGCTCATGAATTGAATATATATGGTTGAGAGTGTGAAGAATATGTGTGTGTGTGTTTGTTGAATAAATGTGAGTGTGCGTGCGTGCGTGAGAGTAGATAGTAGTAGTAGTTATTTGTTCTGTGGTGGTGGCCGAAATAGATCCGGGAAAACTGAGTGTGAGAGTGCGGAAGAAGGATGGCGTATGTAGTTGTGTGTAAGTGTAGTTGTCATGAAAATAGCTATATTTGTTAAGAAAAGTCGGGTTATGTGTTATATGTAGAGGAGGAGGGGTTTTACAAAGGGGGGATAAAAAAAGAAATTAAGGTTCAAATCAGGCCACGCTAACACGCATGCCACAACGCGCGATGTCCATGAGGATTTGTGCTGCCTACAGGATAATTACCAAAGGTTGGTGTTCTTAGTGAGATGGTCGTGGTCATACTATTATCCACACGTACGAAAGAACCACGCACGCTAGATGAAAAAAAATTATGTACTAAAATTTTAACGCCATTTTTTTCCCTGTGCCCTATCATTACCTCCACAATTTGGACTTGCTGACGCTTTGACATGCCCACTTTCCAACTTTCATGTTCCCATCGATGACGCTGCAGACATGCTGAATGCTGAAACGAGTCGTCACACTGGTCACATGCAAGATCGCCTTGACAGCCGCAGCGTCCTCCATCATCCATAGCATTGATATTACTATGGGCACTGGCAAACGAAGCAAGTGTACGTGCGGCGTTGATCTCCAGTTGGCCCTCGTCCTGTGTCCGTCTTTTCTTTTTGTTCTGATCAGGGTCGTTCGATTTCCGTTTGACACCACCAGCAGCGGTTGTCGTCGTCGTCGTCGTCGTGTAGTAGTAGGCTTGCATGGGTTGGTAGGCAAACTGCTGCTGTTGCTGGTGCTGTTGGGACGGTAAGGGTACGGATGGAGGCGGTGGAGGTGGATGATGGTAGCCCGGGGGAGGCGGTAGGATGTATAATGGACGCTGGCGATGATAGTCGAATAGTGAAGAGCCGAACAAGGCGGATGGTGGCGGCAGAGGTGGCGGTGGGTCTGTTGTGGGCATGTCAAAGGTATCGTATATTGTAAACGTATGTGAAAAAAGAAGAAGCGAAAAAAAAAATATGAAAAAGCGAAGAAGAGGAGGTTGAAAATAATGACAGAAACGAAAAAAAGAAAAAAAAAGAAAGCCTAGGATGCTCATCCCGAGCGGAACTTGTCGTTTGAACAAACACAACATCCCGACCCGCTCGCTCGCTCGCTTCTGTGTGTGGCAGGGCCGATGGCAAATGTCATTGGACAAAGTAAATGCCCAGTGCCTAAAACCGGTATGGCGGATCTGTCTGACCGAATAAGCTTTTTTCGCAACTGCTAATATATGTGTGCTGCGTGCTATGTGCTAAGTAGGCGTGTGTGGGGCAAGAGAGGGTGTGTGGGGGGGTGGGTGTGTGTGTGTGGTCGGTCTATCCAAGAGTCGATACAAAAGATAGAGGAGAGAAAAGGTCTGGGTTACAGAAAAACAGAGGCACACCCCTCGATTGGTTTCGTCCACCTTCTCAATTGGGTCGCAGCAGACCTGCCTAGACCCGTTTATTACCTTTTTCGCTGCAATGGAGCCCATTTTTCTCCCTTCTCTTCTTCTTTTCCTTTTTGTTCGCTCTCTCTCTCTCTCTCTCTCTCTCTCTCTCTTTTTTTTTGCTTCCTCTTCTTTCCTCTTTCAATCAATTTCTGTTCATGGTTGCTTCTGACACCTTATCGCCATCGCCGCCGCCCTCGACAAGCGACAGCAGCAGCAGTCGTCGACACCACAAGAAGCCGTACAAGAGCTGGCTCAAGGACGGAGTTAACGGTGGGCCTTGCTCGATGCAAGTCGTCGTCCAGTGGCTCTCGGCAAACTATGCGACCAAGTGGCGGGACGACAGCGACAACCGCATGCCAAAGAAGCTTTTGCTGCAGGAAATTCTTGATCAGATGCAGCAGGTCGGTATCCACCACCGCCTCGCCAAAGACGTTGCCAGCAAAATATCCACCCTGCAAAGCAATTATCGGATCGCACGAGAATGGTACGACGTGATCGGCAGCCAGTGGCGGAAGGCCGGTGCTCAGGAAACGGACGTGAAAAGTATGTACACACGCACACGCTCAACAACATATCCTATCATAAACACACACACACACACACGCACACGCACACAATTTTATTTTTTTTTATTTTTGAGTTTTGTATTAAGCCGAGAAAAAATAAACATGTAAATTTTCTGTAGAGGAGGTCCTGCGACGCTTTCCTTACTGGGACGAGCTCCATGGAGCGTTTGGTGCAACCACGACAACAATCACCACGACAACTACGACCACGACCGCAACCAACGCAAAGGGCCAGGATGTATCGAGCACGTCGACAATGACGACGATCCACAAGAACGATGGCCCCATGTCTATCCGCAGCATCATCCATTCGATCGACAACGAGCCTAGCCTCCAGGTCTGGGTCTCTACCTACCCAGACATAAGCCGCCAGCAACACCAGCAGGCAGCTGCCACAGCCGCAGTCGCCGCTGCAACTGCAAAGGCTACGGCCACCACGGCAACAGCGACGACGGCAAGCTTCATCACCTTACCGGAAAACCGCCAGGCCGTCATCGTCTCGACTGCAACGACAACCGACGACGTCGCGCTGCTGGGCAAGCGACCGCATGAGGACGTCTACGATGAGCTGCTGGCTGAGGAAAAAGAAAAGACCCGGAGGGTCCGTGCAAGAGCAGATCTCGTCAAGCAGCTCGTAAAGTCTGGACTTTCCAAAGATGAAATCGCCACAGAGTTAAGACGGTCGACCTCCACCGCTTAATAATAGCACCCCCCCTTCTCTACTCTCTCTTACGAACCCATCATTTCAACATATCATATACACACACACACACACTCTCTCTCTCTCTCTTTCAGGCTCACACTCTTCTTCTCTTCATCAATCATGAACTCTCGCCCATTTCCCGGCCTCACGCTCTAACTCTCCCCCTGATATTACCCCGCATCGTTTCTGTCTCCAACTTGCATGTAAAACCCTCTCTCACTTCAATTCAATTCCATTCAATACTCAGCACTCTATTCTATACTACCCACAAGCACCTTTAACGACTCTTCTTCCCCTCCCCACTCATTCACTTCAGATTTGTGTAGTTATAATAATGTACGTTTTTTTTCCTTTCTTTGATAATTTTCCTCATATTTCTTCTTTCTCTTTTTATAGGTAGTTCTAATGATGATATATAAAAACTCTCTCTCTCTCTCTCTCTCCCCTCCCCATCTCGCACAAAAAAACAGCAACACGACTAGTTATATATTCTTTATGTCCTATGCACAATATGATCAGTAAGTAGCGCAACCATGTCCTCATCCAATGTTTTTTGGTTGTCAAAGCAGTATGCGCATAGCACCACCACTCGCTCCAGCAACAGCAGTAGTAATATTTCTCTTTCGTGGTTCATTTCATTCACTAGCACTGCTAGTACTACACCTCGATTGTTCTTGGAATGATTGTCGTCAAGCTCTGCCACTGACAATCTAGCTGGTCTAGTTCGTCACTGTCGCAAAGTGCCACTTTGAAAATCGCCTCTTGTTGAAGTGGCCTGTCGTGTCACTACTGTCATTAAAGACGCGTAAATTGTGTAGGGGGGGGAGTGCGGCTGAGAAAGGGCTGGAGCAAACAAAAAAAAAGAGTTGGCATTTGTTTTGGCAAATCCAAATTCTGGACCACTTGCTGTAATACACCTCCCTTCTCCCTCATGCATATTACTGTGTGTTTCACACTTTTACCAATGGTGGAATAGACGAATCAGATCTTTACAAAAAGCTACACGTGGCCTCTTGCTCCAGTTAAAAATTTCATTGTTAGGTTGTAAGCCTCTTCTAACTAGGTACCAGATAAGAAAAAAACTTAGACTTACTACTACCGCACTACTGCTATTGCTACAAAATGATAAACCAAAAAAGACCCTAATGATGCAAAAGGTCATGACCACTACTATTGCTGCGATACCTGTCATGTTTAAAATCTTACTAGGAAGTTTACATACACAACTGTATTTAACTTTTTTAAATGAACCTCTCCGATGATGAAGAAATATATGTAGCACTGATGGGACACACAGAAACCCTAATGGCGCCTCTGTAGTGCATCGGATGACCGCTTTTAGTAACATTGGGACTATTTCTTTTGGTTATACAGTAGTAAGTATAGTGTTACAGAGCAAAAGAAGTATGTAGAAGCAGCAGAAGCACACCCGCGGCAAAAGGGGGAATCCCAGGTTTATCCATCCATTTCGCTTTTTCGGGTTGTTTCAAATCTGGTCTGTGATCTGGAATGGAGCCAGTGAAAATTTGGGGGTGGGGAAGGGAACGCCCTGAGCAAAATAAAAATTTCCTTTTCTGTGGCAGAAGAACAAATGGGACCATAATCTGCATCTGGCCAGGGCGCAGTTTACAACAGTCCGTGTTGTTGTCCTTCGTGATGTGCCTTTTTTGCATCTGGCCATCGCTTAGTTGTTGGGCCGTAAGAAGAAAGATCACCATCATGATTAAGAGTCTTGTATATTGCACACATCTTGAATATACAGTATGTAACATATAGTAGCCAACGTCCTGTATAGAAGGCAGATAGTAGATGAGTGACCACTAAGCAGAATAGTCTTCGCTACTATCCCTCCCTTTGCATCTTTGCAACCACTAGTAAAGATTACAGAGATAGCGATGATCAACAAAAAAGCAGAATGTCGATCACATAAGCCCGTAGCAAAAAGGCACACTCCTTAAAAGGAAGTAACTTGTTCACCTGCTATATGGAACATGCCCCATTCGTCACGCCTTCGCATAGACGCATATCCATGTTCAGATCTATCGGGAGAGCTTGCAGTATAAGGTAACTGTCATTTGATAGCTCGTGCGCAGCGTCCAGCTCTCTTAGTCACTGGAGAGAAACAACCTTTTAAGGTTACATATCACCTTCTTAATGCTGTATATTGTGTTACTAATAGCCGAATTTAGCTAACCAGCAATATGACCTTTATGAATCTGGTTGCTTGTAGATGCATATAATAAGTGTGCATGGCAAGATGTAAGACAAGAAAAAGATGGATACCTTGAGTTACTATAGTACAAAAATTGTCGATATTGCTATTAATAATATCTGAAAGCTACTAATATTAGCGCAATCGACGATAGAGAAAAAATTTATAGCTCAGCTTCGATCTGCGTTCAAGTAATCAAGGAGATGAAAAAATATCATCTTCCTCATCCTATAACCGTCAGAGCAGCGTCTCGACAAGAACCTTACCACGTGGAAGTCCTCAGTCTAGAAACGCCACATCACCAGAAGTGTGTATTTTGAGACTACAGATCAGCATTTTGCTTTCTCGTTGTAGCAAACCAACTGCCATTTTTTTTGTATGTTGCTATTGACGTTTGTAGATAGTTCACCACACATATTATACTGGCACTGGCATGAAAACTAGAGATGCACTTACTGGCAAGGACCTTTTCCTTCTTAGAAGTCAAGTACTGGTCACTCGTTCTTGCATCTTCTTCAACAACATATTGAAACGGTTTGGACTCGGAGCGATTGAGTCAGTCGACACTGTAACCCCAGTCTACAACTTGGCTATTATACCATGTATTTACTAAAACTATATCACCTGTGTATATCATCACCGTTAGCAAATGGTTCTGCTGCTTTGCATGATTCCGGAACTGTATTCAATCTATGATACTGCTGCGCATTTTGCTAGTAAATACAGCTCACCTGGCATAACAATAACACCAAGATTACTTGAAACAATAGGCTCTTTACGTGTACCGCCGCGCCCATAATCAATATTGTGCAGGTCTAATTGAACGCAGAAACCATTATCCAGTTTGGTCAAGATCTAAAGCGTATTGAAAAAAAAATTATTCGTTTGTATCATTGCTGTTGCTGCTGTTATTGTCAGTGCTCATGACGCCGCCGCCAAAACGCCCAATCACTTGGTCCTCTTCTTCCAATAATTCATTGTAACTGATGGATTGTTCCGGAGTACTAGACAAAACACAAACATTCCAGTATTACCTGTAGTATGGCAAGACACAATAATCAAAAACATGGCGTATTTGGCAATCAAATTGTAAAAGAGAACTTGTCCAAGAGGTGGTGTAGCATCCTCTACGAGTCCTTCAAAAATAGCCATATTTTCCTAACAGATAGTACCAGGGAAAACTCAAATGCTAGCTCATACTATCTATTCGATTGATTGTTGTTAGTCGATGTTGACATACAGTTCCGATTCGACTCCTTGTCTTGTTTGCATAAGCAGATCAAGTTTGGGGTTTTGAGCGCTTCTACCGTAGCAACTTGCGCTCTGTGGCCATGATAGAAGATGACCCTAAAAAAGAATCCTATTTCCAAAGTTTCTGGTTTTGTCAAGATAAAAGCAGGACTGGTGTCGTTAGGTAAGTAAGGAGGGTGGAGGAGTGTTGCAATATATGTATTGCTAAATGTATTGCTTTACCATAGCCGGAGTTTCGTGATCCAGGGAATGGTTCGAAGCGCGATAAGGAATCACAAGAATTCACATAGCCGAAATTTCAGATTGTAAATTTCGCGAAAGTATTATATATCACTGGTTGATCGAGTCATTGGCGGTGTCCCGCATCGACCAAATGGATCAAGCCGTCGTTTGACTCGCCACACAGATTGTCCAGAAGTCAGAGATACAATTAACGTTTTTGTGGTCAAATTCTCTTCCAGATGTAAATTCTGCTTTCAAGAGTATCCAAAGAGGATATTGCAAGGGTAGCTAGCAGAAAACCGACTTTGCGCAGTGCAATGATCAAAAACATTTAATCGATCTTACATCGCACAATAACCGTCATAGATAATCTGATTTAGGTAGTCGCTTGGTATCTCATTCTTCTTGATCGTTTCATTTTTGAAATTTGGATATAATAATGATTTTTGAAACCCTTTGTATTTTATACTGGAAATTCATAGACCGTTTCTGTGCCGTAACAGTCTGAAAAGCTAAAGGTCATTGTCAAACTGTAAGTAAAATAATCAGGTATGTATTACTATTAATTGCGGGTAAAACGATACTCGTCAGGTCTATCATTCATTTAAGACTCTCAGTTTCATCTGCTTGATTGGCGATTGCTCGTCGATGGACAATTGAACGTATCCAAGCGTCCGGGAAGCGTGTCTCAAACATTCTAAGCCAGAACTGCCAATGTTAGCGGATACTGATGTAGATACACTAATAGCCTGTTCGATTTGGATTTTTCAAATTAGTTTGAGATTATCATCGGACGAAAGTAAGTACAGTCGTCGTCGCGGAGTTAACAGTAAACCGAATGCCACTGCATTGTGAGGTCTTCACAGGTGAAAGGAAAAAAAAATATTTACTATATACTACTAAGATTTGATATGTATCCTTATCAGCAATCCAACAATGTATTTGGCTGAAATATAAGCTCTATATTATCAGCAGCATAGCTCTTAGAGGGTGCAATTCTTAAAAGAAGTTCCTGATCCAAAACATTTTTCACAGTCAGAATACTTGTAGGCGGCGTTACTGAATTGCAGGTAATGGTCAAGATTTTAAATGGCCAGTTTTCTTTGGTTGCGATTTCTCTTTTTATATATGTACTGTAGTTGCAATACATTCTTGTTTAGCGTAACATGAAGTTTACTATGTACAGACAAATGTACATCACAGAACGGGTCATCAATGTATATGGATACGTACATACATAACAAAAAATGCAATTTCTGGTCTATTTCACCAATACACAAATATATTATAAAAAGTAGCCTTCAATATCCGCAGGCAATTTCCATTGATACCCACTCACTTTCTTTATTTCATCTACAAGACACGTGTAGTGCAAGCTAATATGTACTCATATCAAGAATTGAAAATTCATCTGCTGTCATCTGTGCACAATTTTGAGTATTACATACAATATTTACAAGTTATTCCAGCAATCGTAGTTGTCTCGCTATCTGTACAAGTTTGAACGCACCGACTTAAAGCACTCATACAACGAATGGGCTTCTTGTACATCCTTTCTCCAAATGTAGCATACACATGTACTCAACTATAATCAGCTAGGTTGCTGGACACTATCGTAAACTTTTAAAACGGTAATAATTTTTTTTGTGTGCAATGATGCTATCAAGTGAACAGTATATTCGGGTGTAGGTATGATCCAAAATCCAGATCAAAGCACAACAACTACCACCATTTATGCTGTTGCTTTACATTGAATTTTTGGAATTTCTGTACCTATGATGGTGGCTCGATAGTTCATGCGAACAACGCTTTCTCATTGACTACCCACTGCGATCAATTGTATGAAAGGAAGTTTGGAGCCTGGTCTTCTACACCAAACTAGATCCTAACCTTTATCATCAACTTGGATAGGCCCGATGCCTTTGCTTCAACCATTCAATTAAAAACAATAGCCGTTTAGTCTGTTCTCGTGGCATGCTGCTGTGATTACTGGACTTGGGATTTCAACCGTGTCCCATACACACATTCGACTGACACCTCACTGGCATTAAAGCCGCTTGTCCAGCTTCGCCACCCCTAGATCACTGCCAATGATTAATCGTTCCATAACCACCCCTCCCCGCTCTCTTTCTAGCTTTGTATAATCCCTTTTTTTTCTTATCTCCAACACACAACTGCTTTGTACATGTGATTCAGGGTGGTAGTTTATTGGCCTACCGGCTCATACCAAACAAAGAAAGATGTTAATTAAAAGAAGAGCGTGTATTTATGTATGTGTGTGCATGTGTGTGTGTGTGTGTGTGTGCAAATAGAGGGAAGAAGAATAGAAGAACTAGTAGCGACGATCGCGCCGTTCGTCACGACGGTCTCCGTAATCACGTGAATGCTGATGTGAGCGATGGTGATGATGCCGTCGATGCGATGAGGACGATGGAGGGGTATGATGGTGATGACTACTGCCGTTGTGAAGATGAGTGGATGAGGAAGTGGTTGAGGAGCGACCTTCTTCGGTTGCTGTAATTGCTTTCGAACCAGAAGATGTTGGCGTTTGCTGGGAGGATGGAGGCGGATTGCTCTTTAGGCGGTTCCAGATATTGACTAGATCCTTGTATTTTGGACGCTTGCTGGGCCAGAAGCGCTTGACATAGAGCCACATATCGCGATGGTAGCGATGTCGGTCCTGTCGACTGCGATTGCTTGATAACCGATCCATGTTTTTATCGATACATTTGCCAATTTTGCCAACACATTCCTTGATGAACGCTGCAACCTTGTCCTTTTCCAACTTGTTCGTCTCGTCCCTTAAGCGAACTAATACAGATCGAACAGGCTCCAATGCACGCTTGGCTTCGTCTTCATCGTAACTGGCGTACATTTCTTCCAAATCCGGTTCCTTGTTCTCCTTTTCAGTTTTCTTGGCTGAGGACGGTGTGCCAGAACCAGCTGCTGCTGCTGCTGCAGCGCCGGCAGCTGGTGATGATCTACTGCCCGTGGTTTTGCCCTTACGCTCGCGTGCTGATGGCGTGCCAGGCGATCCCCGTGCTTGCTGTTGGGGTGATGATCGTTTGTGGTGGTGATGGTCATCTGACTGTGGATGATGTCGCGCCGCCGCCACACTGCCCTCCTTTTTACTAAATTTGAGAGTCGATTGCTTTTGAGGCTTCGTTTGCCGCGTCTTTTCATCTTCTGCAAGCACCTTGAGTAGTTGCTCAGTACGTCGTACCAGATGAATTGCCTTGGGGGTCCGCTTATCGTCCTTGTCCTTGGCAGCTTTTACATTGCTCTCGTCGTCGTCACCATTGTGATTCAGGAAAAACTTGTCTTGTAAACCTAGGTCGAGGTCAGCCTGGATCTGGGTCCAGCTGCCAAATCCATGTCGATCAACACCCACCAGTAGCATCGCATCTTCCTTTTGACCCCATGGACAGGACCAGCCTTGCACGCGCTTCGCACCCAGGGACATTCGGAATTTGAGTGTGTTACTCATGGCATGCATCCGCTGCCGAAGCACCTTCATATCATGATGTCGTTGGAGGACCTGGCCCGCATTGACGCTTTGGATTCCGCGCCAGGTGAAAAGAATTGCCTTTTGCTTTGTGTGTCGCACTTCGCGAAGCATGGTTTCTTCGTCTATTGGCGTCTTGGATGAAGTCGACGAGGAGGAAACTGAAGCTGCCTGCAGCTGCTCGGTAATTTTGTCCTTGCACGCACTGACCAGATCCTCACACATATTAAGAATCACCGTTTTATCCTTGTGTTCCAGGTCTGTGTCACGCACAGCTTCGTCGTACCGCTTTTCGACGTCGCCCCATTTCAGTAAACAGCGAATAAGTGCTCGAAGATCCTTTTCGCTGATATCGTCCGACTTGTTGCCATTGCTGTTCTTTTTGCTGCTACTACTGGTGGACGCGCCAGCCTTACGCCGTCGTTTGCGTGTTGACTTTTCAGTTTCTTCGTCTGAAAAGTCGTCGATAGCATTCTCGCGATATGTCCGTCGATTCTTCTTCGCTGCACGATCAAACAGCGATAGCTCGTGCTCGATGATCTTTTGTTCCTCGTTGGCACGGCGCTCACCATCTGGTATAATCTCGCCCCAACTCAAATCGTTTGCTGTGCCGCCATAGTCGGAAATTTTGAACTGCGCCAAAAAGTCCTCGCTGCCAAGCGCACTGTCTTCATCTTCCAGTGTCTCGGTATGCTCAGCACGTGCCAAAATATCGTCCAGATCCATATCATTGAGCTTTTCCGTGTTCTCATTAGACTGAAACATGTTTTGCGCGCCAAACTTCAAAATGGCCGACATTTCGTCCTTGTTAAACGGAAGCTGGCGGATCTTGCCCGATGACGTTGTCAAAGCATTGTCCGGTAGCAGCGACAGACCCGAGGTATCCATCTGCTTGATAATACAGTATTCCAATACCATCTTGCGCTTGGCACGTTCAATGATGTTCTCCTCCATGGTTCCCTTGGTCACGAAGCGATACACATTGACCGATTTTGTTTGGCCAATACGATGTGCTCGCGACATGGCCTGTAAATCGTTTTGCGGATTCCAATCCGAGTCAAAAATAATCACCGTGTCGGCAGTCACCAGGTTGATACCCATACCACCTGCACGCGTCGAGAGCAAAAAGACAAAATCAGGACTGTCAGGTGCATTGTAGTGCTCGATTGCCTTGGTACGTTCTTCTGTTCGCATCCGTCCGTCCAAACGCTGGAATGGATGGCCACGTAAGGACATGTATTCGGACAGAATGTCTAGCATCATCACCAGCTGCGAAAAGATCAAAACACGATGACCATCCGACTTGAGTCGCGTCAAGAGTTTGTCCAACAATACCATTTTGCCACTGTTTTCGACAAGGCCGCGCAGTTGTTCGATCCGACTAGTCCGCACAAGCTCGGTGTCCTGAAAAAGGAACGGATGGTTACTCGCTTTTTTCAACTCAATGGCAATATTAAGCCACTGCTTTTTGATCTTCTCAGAGCCGCGATTGAGCACTTCAAAGTTCTTGGTCAGAATATTCTTATACAGATCGCGCTGCATGTCGCTCATTTCGACGCGGAGAATGCGCTCGGACTTGTTCGGCAAAGATTTTTCGACATCCTTCTTCAATCGCCGCAACATGATGCTTTTCAGGCTTTCGTGCAGCTTCTTGATTTTTTCCTGTTGATGATCGTCGTCCTTATCCAAATCGACGTTCAGTTCACTGAGGTCCATTTCCGGCATCAAAAATCCAACCAACGCCAGTAGTTCCTTGACACTGTTCTGGAGCGGCGTGCCCGTGACAAGTAAGCGGTTGACGGTGTGGAAGCTTTGAAGAGCCTCATACAGCTGACTTTCTGAATTCTTGAGACGATGGGCTTCGTCGACAGCAAGATACTGCCATTTTAAAGATCCCAATTCGACACGGTCTTTTAAAACGATTTCATAGGTTGTGACGAGCACGTTGAACTTGAGTTTCTTGGTACCGCTCAGATAAAACTCTTGCTCACGCATCACTTGACGAGCCTTACGGTTACCGACATAGCAGATGGCATTCATATCCGGAGCCCACTGCTTGATTTCAGACATCCAGTTGTCCGACGTCGACAGTGGTACAACGACCAAGAATGGGCCGTACACAGAGTGCTTGTGGAACAAAGTGCTCAAAAAACTGATCGTCTGCACAGTTTTGCCGAGACCCATTTCGTCTGCCAGAATGCCGTTCTTGTTATTGCACCAAAGCCAATACATCCAACTCGCGCCGTGCAGCTGATAGTCGCGCAAGGTGCCTCCCTGAATAAAGCTGGGTTGTTCGCGCAAGATGGAGAACGTCGGTCGTGACTTGATGTATGCAGCGGAGCGGCCAGGAATATTCTGGCTTTGTTCTCGGTCGAGGAAGCTGTCAATTTCGGCTTGGTGGTTATCGGATATGAGCTCGGATGTTTCCCAGGTGCAGTCGTCATAGTGCAGCCGTTTCCATTTTACAAGATACTCGCAATCAGGCGGTGTTCCTTTCATGGCAATGATGCGGTCGACGGTGCGCCAGTGTTGAATGTCTTCACGGCGTCGCTCAGTGTTGATGTCCTGCTGTTCAAGTTCTTCTTGCGTCGTCTCCGGATGGCGTCGGAATTCCATTTCTTCGTACACAGCAGTTTTGATGTAGTTTTCAAGTTTTCTGAATCCCTTGAAGGATCTGAGGTACTCGTACGTATCCCAAGTGTCGTGCAAATGAGACCAGGACTTCCACTTGATCAGGAACTCCATGTTTTGTTCAGGTACGTCTTCAGGTTCATCAGCTGTATTTGATTCACGAATCATTAATAAGATTTGCGATGCATTGCTATGTTTACCGAGTTGCCATACCAAATTGTTCGCGTCGTCGGTGATCGTGTACGCTTTCAATGACATCGCCTTCTTCTTCTTCAGGCTGCGGGGTATATGAACTATTCGCGGCAAACGCATCGTCTTCTTCTGATAACCCCCATAAATCCGCTTTGTCTTCATTGTAGTTGGTGACTGTTCGCTTTCGCGTTGAATATCGTAACGCATCACTTGAGGCCGTTCGTGACACTAGAATTCACCGCTGAATTAATTTGATATAATTCTTTCCCAAAGTACTCTGATCAAATTACCTTTGTTGGATCTTCGTTTTTTACCACTTTTCCGTCGTGGACGACCATACGTCTCACTGTCTGAGCTGTCTTCTGAAACATTAGCACTTCCGCTTTCTTCGTCAAAACCGGCCCATTGATCTAACAGCAGTAGCAAGATATTTTTTTTAATATTGTGGATATTTTCACGATCCGCGCGTTCCAATATACGTACTATGTAGTTGGTTATGTGTAATTGCAGTAGTAGTTGCTGTTGTAGATCTAGTTCTTCTTCGTTGATTACGTTTCGTGCCGTTTCTGGGTGCACCATAGTAGTCATCGCTGCTGGCATCCAAACTGATATCTTCGCTTGCATCGCTCATTGCCGACTCTCCATTATACGATGGTGTTGAAGTCTAATAAGAAAATCAGTAAAAAGTTTAATTTCGTACGCAAAGGGTTGCTTAGTAATACTGCTAGGCAACACCCTTCAACACTCCGCAGTTCGAATAACGAATATTGGGGGGCGGAAGGACATATTCTTTACCGCATATCGAGTTGCCTTGGATGCTGATGCTGCTGCTGCTCGTCTTGACGATCTGCGTAAACCGTACAATTCGGGGTCCAAGTAGCGGAAATCCGGTTCTTCGGTCCCGATTCGCCGTCGTCGCTCTTCAGTTTCACTGACTTCTTCGAACGTATCATAGCCATTATTATTGACATTAGTGGTAGGAACAGGGCTATCACTGTCGTCGTCATCATCATCATCGTCGTCGTCTTCTTCGTCTTGATCATCATCGTCGGTATATTCATTTTCTTGTTGATGACCCCATTGAGGGCTTGGTGTCAGTTCCTCGCTATTGGATAGCGAACTATCGTCGTCGTCATCTTCAGCGGCAAGTGGTGGCGACAGGCTATTGTTATTGACGGTGGTAGTAGTAGGTACAACGGCAACATCCTCTTCGTCTTCCGAGAAAACGACAACACGCTTTCTACGTTTGCGTGCAGCGACAGCATCGTCTAAACTGTCGTTATCCGAGCTGGTAGCGCCCGATTCTCTCTTTGTTGGTATTGCACTGGTATACTCGTCTTCGGAATCTATTATTCGTTATTTTTTGAGTTGTTGATGTTGTTTGTTATTTGTTAGCACCCATAAAGGAGTATAGAAGAGGAGAGAGAGGTCATAAAAGGAAAAAAAGAGAGAGGGTGTGTGTTGTTGAAAACGGAATGTGCAAAATGTTCTGTTGCCCAAGGCAACACAATATGCGTAACAGACAACAAGGGCAGCCTGTTGCGAGCAAAAGAAAGAAACAAAATAAAGGAGCAATAAAAAGAAAAGGCAATCGCTTCTTCTCCACTAAAAGAGAAAAGAATGCACGCGTCTCCAAGTAAATCGATGGAGAAAGGGTCGTTACGAGCAGTAAAAAAGGGAAGTTGAACAAATAGTAACAGATGCCAACAAACAAGTTTTTTTATGAAATAAAAAAATGAATGCGATGACACAAACGAAAAGTTGCAGGCCGCTTTTTTTCTCCAATGTTATAGACGTCATGCTCATAATATAACAAGGGGAAATGGGAAATGGGATGGAATGTGTGTGGGGGAAGAGAGGATATATATGAAAGGGTAAGCAGTTTTGGGATACAAACGAACTTACCATGCATTGGGTGAGAACAGACGCAGTAAGCACTTGCAAGTCCAAACAGAATTTTTCAACAAAACGGTCGGTGCTTACTGCACCTTCCGAATGTTTTTTTATTGGTTTCACTCCGTTCTTTGGATTTTCTAATTTGCACTCCTCCTCATCATCATCGTCGTCAATATCTTCTTCTTGCTTTTACCCCACACACGCGCATACACTAGCTACTTTTACTGGATTAAAGTTTCATTGATATATCAAGGAGCTGGCTTTTTTCTTATGTATGATGTTGCTTCAAACACCCAGTAGGTGATTAGCTAAGCTTAATCCGACTTAAAAAGCACTTAGCAATAAGTCATACACAGGCTATATGAACACGGGAGATGGTGTTAGTCAACGAGATCTCGTTAACACTTAATGAAAGATTACAGTAACAATAGCCTTATCCTTTTCTTTCAGAGCTTCATCCAGCCGCTCTATGGCATATATACTTTTGCACGAAATGCCCATGGACAGCCTTCAAACATTACATAAAGACGAGGGTATGGTTTTTTATATAAAGTTTAGGTACAAACTATGGGGAAAAAAACTAACCTTTTTGGGGAATCCATTGGATTCTTGGAATCTTTTCTTCTTTTTAAAACAGATGATTGAAAAAAAAGCTTGATCGCTTCACGGATATTACTCGTAGTTACTAGGATAATCGAGCGAAATTGACATAGCAGACCATAATTAAGCATGGCCAGTAAAAAAATGGTTGATAGTGCCTTTGTTTATTTTACAATTTTACTCTAATACCAAACCGACGCCACATGATCCATGGTAAAAGCGAAACAACTGTGATATATCCAAAGCATACCAACAAGCTAGTTGTTGTAGAAGCATACAGTGTTCTCATGCTGAGATTGACCAGTCCAGTAAGCACGTTTGCCTATAAAAATATAAAAAAAAAATAAAGAGAGGAACCGAGTGAGAAGAGGTGGACTCTATTAACAATCTTCCATACCCCTACGCGTCAAATAGAGATACTTTACCCAGAGAAACGTCGAAAGACCATTGACATTGACCGCATCCAAAAGCTCAGGCCCACGAGCCAGCGATGGATTGTAGTCTTCAATCCATACCAACGATGCTAACAGCGTCAAACTGAATGCAACGACCCAGATAACATAGGGTAAATTTGCCATGCGACGAGAAACTTCGAATGCTTGTTCGTCATTGTTGTTTTCCGCCAGGAATCGCCAGCATCCAAGCACGGTCCACAAGAGTGTCGCACGCAGAGTCAGCTGTGCTGCCACCTGCTTTGTGTTGGATCCCTTACTTAGGCCTAACCATCGAGATTCCAATGTATTACTGAGCGATTTTTTAAACACAACGGTACCCGAATCAAGTCCAAGAAGGAATATGGATAGGTAACCTATCGTTACAGAAAAAAGAAAACAATCAGATTGCTGAGGTAATTTTTCTTTCTCTTTTTAGTGAGGAAATCAAAGGATATGGGCAGCTGTAGATGTACCTGCAAAGCTACAAATGCCTTCTTTGTTGGCGCTGATCATATCTACTCGAGGCGCTTCGAGTATCCAACCCTGTAATCCTTGAGATAATGCCACCTGATAACCTTTATATACATATTGACGATACGTTACACGTCATGTTACATTTCTCTCTTTCGGACACTCCCTTTTTTGTAAGGCCATGTCTACTTACCAATAGCTATAGCTAATCCTAATACCGAAAATGGAACCCATTTGTAGAGGAAACTCGCCAAAGTGACGAATGGAGGCAAAAAGCCCAACGTGAAAAAGAAGTTCCAGTGTAATCCATATTCTGAATTATGCTCCTAATATTGATTACCGAAAATACCGCTTTTTTCAATACCTTTTCTTAAGGGATCTTCCTTTACACCCATTTACCTGATAATCAACACCTTTGGTGAGAACAAATCTTGCAAATCCTAGTGTCAAAATAGGCAAAGCAGACCGAATGGCTTTGAATAGCGCCAGCATCTTGGTTTCACCTGGAATCTGGTAAAGGTACGCTCGTGAAGAGACAATGCCCGAGGAAAACACAACAGCGCCCACGCCAACATCCATCTAATCCAAATCCATATCACAATTTAGGATTTTCTGTGTTAAACACTAGAAACTGTATCTAAATATTACCAATGATGTGCCGAATGTCTCCACCTTCGCAAACCGGCGTGGAAAGATAGGGAAATCAACAGCAAGTATTGCCAAACAAGTCACCATCATGATGCCAGCTCGATAGACAGTGAGATACGGTTTGTACCCAGTTTGACTTGTACCATCTCTTGCTGCCTGTTCACTTTTTGAAGTAGTCATAGAAACCAGAAAACCGACCGACAAGATACCGAGTGTCACTAAGGAAGCATGGTCAGCAAGTACCGTTTGGTTTGCCAAGACAGGTACAATGTAAACGAAGAGTTGAATCCAGAATCCTTTCACAAATGGATTGCAATCGCGTTTGCTTAATACTGTCCACAGGAAATGTGATGCCTGCATGAGAAATGCCTTGTGTTATGAAATGGTGTTTGTTCTCTTTAGGCTTCTTCTTTTCAGTCGATATAAACTTACAACAAGAGAAGAGCATACAGCTAAAATCTCGCGAATCGAGCCACCAGTGCAATTAGAGACCCATTCTTCTTGAGCGCGTTTGTAATCTTCATCGCGCATCATGATAGTTGAATACATAATCAAGGGCGAACACCGCACCTCCCTAAATAGGTACTATGCCGATCGTGATAAACGTGGTCGCTGCTGACAAGCATTTAATATAGCATTAAAAATAACTCGCCTTTCATAGTATGTCAATCACTTATCACAGGGAAGCACTCCTAATTACAAATGGCATTTATTTCTCTTTTTTGCTTCTTTCACATGTATGAGTGGATAAAAATATATAAACGACCAGTCCTTTTCTTTTATTCAAGGTGCGAGTTTGCGTTCAAAGGTCGGATAAAGTGAGAAGTCTCATGTGTTGTATGTTTTATTTTAAAAACGGTCGCGTCGTCCACCAAAGGGTCGATCGTCTCGTCGGAACCGTCCATCTCTTGCACCACCACTACCGAATCGACCACCAGGGCGTCTGTCCCGTGCACCGTTACCGCCATCGCGTCCCCAATCGCTGTTACGCCGCATTTTATTTATTGGTGGAGGACCGATATAGATTGCCACATCCAGAAAGTCGCCAATAAAGAAATTGCAATCATCCAAAGTCTTTGTCTGATCTGCTGTAGGTTTGATATTCACAACACGTCCAATGTCGCGTGAGCGATAAACGGCGCGCTGACTGTCGAGGTAAATTAATCGAAACGCGACACGAGCGTCAGGGTGTTTGGCTTCTGGTACCACTTCTTGAATAAGTTGTGCAAGTTCTTCCAGTGTTGCATTTCTCCTATAAAATTATGTTTGTTAATTGGAATGTTTACAGTATGCGAATTTCAAGTTGTTGACGCTAGTCTTTTCGTTTGCCTCTCATCCCACGATCGATGTGTATGTGTACCAGGTATATAATTGAAGTTCATCCGATGTTGGTACGCTGTCGACTTGGAATTCGTTGGTACTAATTGAATATCATGAAATTGTATGAGTATTGTAAAATATGTTTTAATCAATCGCGCGTGATCGAGAAAGAGAACGAGGTATTGCATACGTGTGATGGCCACCGTTTCTTGTAAAGATTCTCAGCAGGAATGGACACTCCTAATGAATGAAAGTTAAAGCTTAGTAAAGAGGCTCTAATGAAACGTCGAGTTATATTATATATCATAGAATTAGCAAATTTTTGAAGTACTTTTTCGCGATCGATCGTTGTAGACATTTTAATGATTTACGGAACAAGAAAGTTGTCGGCTAGCCAGCTCTTTTGTTGTAAGGCGGTTGTATGAACTGGGAACGAATTTCTTTGTAAAGTTGGGAACAGCGCGCACCTGAATAGTACGGGCATTAAAGAGATTTAACCCGTTTCATGCTTGCTCTACGCTTTTCTCTTTCAATCACAATAGTGAGACATATGCATTAATGAAATTTTTGGTGTCTATGAGAATACACAGTAAATTAATTGCAAAATGTGAAGACGACTATATTACGGGCTGTTTCTTAGATGTATTTGTGGAAGCGTTAATTGAAAATGCTACTTCCCAAAATAATGCTGAACTTGCTTATGTTTCTCTGGTAGTTTCACGCAATAGTTTAATGCTCGGATAAAACATGTATTATATGCACGCAGATTGCTATGATTAAATAGGTTAAGGTTTGAATTTTCTGTGTTATACTGTATTATGGGAGACTATGCAGAAATTTGACCGGCGCCAATGGGCATATAGTCACTTCCTTGAGATACAGTTGCGGATGAAGGGTACTGATATATGAGAATGTGATGCATTAACTGTAAAAGCCCCTCTTGTAGAGAGAAATTGTGCTAGTGCAGATTAATACTTAAAGTGTGAGTGGCGTAGAAAGTGTAGTATATCCACGGTACCATATTATAGCTGCAGGAAAAGGAATACTGTATGGTCGATGATGTTGCTGTGTTAAAGCAGGTGGGGATGATGGTAGCTGCAGGCTTCTTCTAAACTTGTTCGTCGTTGTCGTTACAGTATAGCTGCCAACAGGGTTACTTCAACGGTCTATCTCCCTGAGGACGCGGATTAGTGCCGACCGGTTAATGTGACTATTAAGGGACTTATTTCAAAAAGCTCCTTTTCACAACTTCCTCTTTTCCTGTCCATTTTTCTCTTCTTTTGCTATCCTTCAATATCACGAAACCCATATCATTCACTTCTTCAAGTAGCAGCAATATGTATGGCCATGTTATCAAGCATGCTTCCGCTGCGACCTTGGCATTAACAGTTTCGTGCTATGTGTATAGCAAAATATGCCTTATCTTTTAAAACCTCATACGGCATCAACCGACAAGGGCAATATCAGACAGATCCCTTTTTTTAAAGGCTTTGTACCTTATTTCGGTAGGAGGATACGCTTAAAATATCAACTACGTACACAGTTAGTCTACAAAATACTTGTTGAGTGACTTTCTCAACTCAATTAATCTTTTAGGGCACCTATTTGCACTGCATTATAAAATCTTATGTGTTTAAAACGGAAAAGTGGGCCAAAAAATCGGGAAAGATGTTATACGTTTTGAAGTTTCCAGGCAATAAGAAAAAGGAAAAGCTGTTTACTCATAGGATGCACATATACATCTGTGCGCACACATGTATTAGGCCCTATCATGCACATATACATGGGAGTCAAGCCATTCATCTCAATCAATGATCCGATTTTAGCTTATGAATATTTTCAACAAATGGCAGTATTACTTCAAACCGGCCACTCAAAATTTTACGAACGATATTTATGCACAAGATGACGAGCTTTTTTTTCGGACCCATCAGATCAATGGGAAAAAGTACGCGCGACAGGTATGAGTACTATATTTTTCACACAGACAGAAGAAAGAAGAGCAGTAAAAGCGAAGAGAGTCATAAAAGCACAGCCACAATTGGTAGTCATAACATAACACTCTCTGTTATACAGTAATCATGGTAATTCGATTGCTTGCACCAAAGAAAACTGTCAAAATGCAATCAGTTATAGAGCGTGAGGCCGTTGATCTAGTATAGCGTCTATATATTGGACGCCACGACGCGCGACAGACAAGTCGATATTGAGTAAATTTGCAGCTCACGACCATGAATATTATGCTGTTGATTGGCTTTGGGAGACGATTTCCTACATCATCGATTGACGACCCATTATTTTGGGCTGTCATCGCCATGATTGATGAGGACGTAGTACACACCAACCTTGTAAAAGATTGGAGCACATGCTTATTTATGTTTTCACTGCTAGAATACACCTTTTGCTCGCGAATGCGCCAATATGTTAAAGGAGATAAACGTCCGTTATATCGTCGATTAGTGAGAGATATATTCTCATCGTCAACTAATAGCAAGAAGAACACTGCTACTGTAGTACTGACAGCAATAATAACATCGTTGGGTGATGGGGATAATGAAGGTTACGTGAATATTTGCCTCGATAAAAAATCTACATTTACGTAGGTGAATAATCTAAACGAACAGGCAATCGTGGTTACAATGGGTATACATTTTCTTGTTTAAAATGTATGTACATATTTTATTTTGGGTTGTTATTAATGCTACGTTTGCACTCCTCCATCTCATTCTGTCTCAGAGTATTCACACTTGACTATTCGCTCATGCACGACATACATTCACCTATTTCGGTGCACATTCGCGACAACAATAGCATGTACGCACAAGCATCGTTATAACCTTGTTTCTGTTTTAAATTAGAAAGAGCGTAAACTGTTCTATAGATAATTAAATTGAACGAGTTTACTACTATTGGTTTCTTCACTCGAAAAAAGGATGAAAAAAACACATACTATGCTTCATCTATTTCAAGCTTTTGTTAGTCTGAAAGCCTTCGCTAAAACCTATGGAGAAAATGAAGGACAACGATGATGACTTGTTTAAGTTGAATTTCTGTGCTAAATTTTAATTCTTTCGCACCGATTGGTTCCCGGTAGCTGACGCCTGGTTATTTAGTCGTGATACATCACATTTTCAGTAAAAGCAAAGAGGGGGAATCGGTCATCCTCACCATCATCTTTTATATTTATTCCTTCTTTGCTTATACTCCAATGTGCTGGCAGAAGAGCTTTTTAGGTCAACTAGTAAATTTTAGATAGGTATAGCAGCATTAACATGAAAAATTAACGGATAACAACGATATCCTCAGTAGTTTGAAAAAAAAAGATGATTTCCTAGAACTCTCGCTGCTCAGTCTACATTTTATTTCACAAGCCATGCTACTACACGATGAAACAAGTTTTATTCTTGTAATGCCATCCATTGAACAGTTGCTATGATAAAGAAAGGCATAGACCAAGTGAGTATCCAAGACTTACAGCACAGTTCCATGGCAGTAGCGCTACCGTGGTGCACGCATAGAAAACACACGCGAAAAAGTTGGCGGGATTTCAATTTGCTGCGGAGACAACAGTATATGAGTTACGTCGCCCGCCGCAGCGCACATCTCTTCTTCTTCACCAGCTTCTTATTTCTTTTATCGCAATGCTCGAATTATACGCAATTACGCTCGCTATGTACTGTGTTACCCTCGTCATTGGTTGCTTTATGCTCCTCTGGCGGGCCCACCCACTACTTTGTAACTTTGCTGGTTCCGTCGCCCTTGTGGCCTTTGTCTCTCGCGCTGAGTGTTGCACTTCGGTGCGCACGTTGATCCGTTCCTTGTGTACGTTGTTGGGTCTGCTCCCGCCTCCGCCGTCGCGCCCCATCTTGCCGCCATCGCAACCTGCTCCTGCACCTGTGAATGTGTTCCAGCGCAACTATTTTTCTTCGTATGGTAAGCATCGCCCCAATCCTTCGCGGATTTTGGAGGGCATAGATCGTGAAATCGACAACGAGGTCTACAGACGTGCGGCTAGTCGTCTTCCTCCCGATATGTTTGATTCTCGGCCAGCGTTTACTTTGTATCCTGACCCGATGGACATATTGGCTGAGCGTGAATACTTGAAACAGTTGAAGGAGTGGTGTGGTTTCCCAGTTTCGCGCAGAGTTACTGTAGTTGATTACGCAGTGCGACGACTTGTATTCAGACGTTCTTCTTATGAGGTTCGGACGACACCTGTTCAACCGCCTGTGCAAAACTCTCCTACTCGTACTCGCCCTGTGCCGGCTGCTACCGTGGTTGATTCCACAGCAACTGTGCATGTTGATCCCTCACTTTCTTCTGCAGCAGTCGAGGACACGACTACAGTGCCCGTTGCGCACATGGATGTAATGATGGAACAGCCTGCGGCCCCTCTGTACTTGCATTGCTCCCGGGTTCCTGAACAAGTTTCGGTGATCGAAGAGTCTGTGGCCCCTCTGCAATTGCATGGCTCCCGTCTTCTTGATCCCGAAGTCCACGCGATGCCTTCGGAAATGCCTTCAGTGCTGCCTGTGATGGAGGACGCTCCTGCTGCGCCGGCTGTTTTGGGTGATTCCACAGCTGTGCAAACGATGCATTTTTCTGACGTTGAGCATACTCCCGCTTCGGCGTGCGAGTCCCTGCCTTCTGAGCATACTCCCGCTTCGGCGTGCGAGTCCCTGCCTTCTGAGCATACTCCCGCTTCGGCGTGCGAGTCCCTGCCTTCTGAGCATACTGCCGCTTCGGCGTGTCAGTCCCTGCATGAGCAAACGGCCACTTCGGTGCGCGCGTCCCTGCATGAAAACGCGGTCGAGGACACACCCATTGACGAGGATGTCCAGATGGAGGAGCCGTCGTATGACGATGAGCTCGCCAACTTAATGGCTTCCCTGACTTTGGGGATGGACGCTTCCGCGTGGTATGAAGATGATCCTTCTGCCATTCAAAATCCATACGCTTTGCAAACTCACGCTTCGGCATACGAGTCCCTGCACCAAGAGCATACTCCCGCTTCGGCGTGCGAGTCCCTGCCTGAAGAGCAAACCACCACTTCGGTGCGTGCGTCCCTGCCTGAAGAGCAAACCACCACTTCGGTGCGTGCGTCCCTGCCAATTGACAACACGGTTGAGGATACACTGATTCACGAGGATGTGCAAATGGAGGAGTCGTGCGACTCTATGTCACATGACGCTCAATCCTCCAACCCAATGCCTTCTCTCGCTTCGGTTGTGGACGCTCCCGTGGGGCCAGCTCAGGATGATTCCTTTGCAGTGCCTGTCCCGATGAGACAATACAGATCTGCGCAAGACGCTTCTGCAAGTGTGCCTCTGCCAGATGACGATGATGAACCCGCAGCAGTCGAGGATACAGAGGACACTCCTGCTGTGCAGCCAAATGATGAGGGCATTGCCTCCTTTTGGTCTAGAATTTTACAACGGGCAACGGTGCTCGACGAAGAGGTCTCTGACCTCT